ACAGCAAGGTGACCACCCAGTCTCCTCTTGAAGATTTCCAGGGTAGATGATTGCACCACCTCTGGAGGGAGCTTATTCCACAGTCTGCACTCCCTAACTGTGAAGTTTTTCCTAGTGTTAAGCCTGAAGCGGGCTTCCAGGAGTTTGCGGCCATTACTCCTGGTTTTCCCTAAGGATGCCCTGGTGAACAGTTGTTTGCTGAGCCCTTGATGTACTCCCCTGATGTAGTGGTGAGATAAGCACATACTCAGACTACTCCCTGCCCGGTCATTCTGCACTGCCCCCACTACCCAGCCCCCCCCTGCAAGGAGGTAAGCACTGTAATAAATTAGTTTTTGAAAAGGGGTACCACTCAATTCACAAGTTATGAGGGGGGAGGGGTGCCTTGAATCTAACAAGTTTAAGAATCAGATCTAGAGTGATCCATAACCTGTCATACCCATCTTACCCTTCTTAAGATAAACCACGTCAATGCTTTCAATCTCCCTTCAGAGAAAAAGCTTTGCCTAAGGTTCATTCTTATCACCTTTCACTAAACCCCTTCCAGTTCTGCAATACTTGTTTTAAGATGTTGACCAATACTGCACATAATATTCTAGATGAGACCATGCACACAAGCCACTGGTATATACAAAAGGCACTGTGTTTTCAATATTATTCTCCATCCCATTACTTATGTATCCTAAACTTATCTTTTACTCCAGATGAGCACTGAGCAAGTTTTCACTGAGCTGCCTATAATGAGGCCTAGTACCTTTCTTGAGCCGAGGCAGCTAAATTTAGAACTCCAAAGTACACGTGTATTTTGATTTGTTTCCCTCTAACGCATGGTACTTTTCATGTATCAAGATTGAACTACTTTTGCTGCTTTGCTGCCCATTTACCAGGTTTAAGTACCTCAGAAGTTCCTAATGGTCCTCCCCTTGTCCTGACCAACTTACAGTTGCCAGCAAATTTTGCTACCTCACTACTCACCCTCTTTTCCACACTGTTAATACAGTAAAAGCCAAAACCTTAAGGCACTCTTGTTAACTTCTGTCATGATGAAAAATGACTAACCCTTATCTTTGCTTTCCATCACCTATTTCTGACTCAAGACCCCATGTCTACTCATAGCTTCTTTAATAGCTTCTTTAATAGCTTCTTATTTGTGACTCTGACAAAGTACCTTCAGAACGCTAAATGCCATATGAGCTTCAAAAATATAATCAAGAAACTACCTCAGTTCCTACTAGTTTTCCCCCAGCACTTTATTCAAACACTCCTCCAATCTCACATTCATTTTTGTGTGCTGACAGTCTGGATCTTTTTTGATTAACGAGAGCCTCATGGAAATGCTGAAACTTCTTTTTAGATATTCTGCTTTTCTTCGGCTTCCCTTTAGAGGCCTTACTACTGAAGCTTTGATGCAGAAAGAGCTCACTGAAAGACATTTTCTTCCCTGGGAGCAATCATTCTAAATCAACACTTTTTCAAGGATTCAAGAAAGTAAAAGACAGTTCTCTCTATACCCTTTCATTCTTGAGAAGGGATCTTCAAGGATTTGAAGTCTGCCCTCTCAATTTTAAAAACCTAGCTGCTTTTAGGAATAAGTCTTAAAGTTCAAAGAGTCTACCCCAATGAACAGTCTGATTCAACTACTGAAAGGCATCTGAAGCCAAAGAGCTTCCATTCCTCCTTAAAGTATGACACAAATGCCCTCCTAGGATTTCAAATGAACTTTCCCTTGCTAACCTCCACTCCATTCTTCTCGAGTTTCTTTTTATGCAGTGAACCTGAGAGAAATGGGTTCAAATCTAAACAGTCTCTGTTGAATGAAGAGGCAGAAGTGTCTTTACTAGGCCAGGAATTTGAGGCTATGGTCAAAAATCTGATTATTCTCTCATACCAAGTTCAACTGAAAGGGCCAAGATGAGGCATATTATTTCTTTCCAATAATATATACCCTGACCAAGAAAACAGCAGAAATACCAAAACCAGCAAAAAGTTAATGAACTGAAGGAGCCCACACCAATGTTGCAATTACAAAAGCAAAGATTCCCCTACAGCAAGGGTGTTAAATTCTTCTAGGGCTGTGGGCCAGATGTGGGTTGCTGAAGTGGATCAAGACTGACCCCTTGTTCTGCATGGAGCACCCATGGTGCCACGTTCAGCCTACACGCAGCGCACACCAGCCTCGGACAGAGTGAAAAAGTATTCCCCACAACTGAAAAGAATGGATGGTACTAAGAGACAGGACTCAGCTGCTCTTGCCATATGCCAAGTTCCCTTGCAAGCCTACTGGCCCCCTATTTACTGGCCCAATAATAAAAGTAACAGAGAAAGTTTTAGTATGTGTTGCCAAAACAAGACTCCCATGACCCCCCTTCCCCCTACCTCCATCCCAAAAAGAAAACCAGCAGTGATTTGCAGCACAAGTCCATACATGGGAAATGCCCTTTGGGCTCTAAAAATATAATCAGGAAACTACCTCCCTGAATGATGGAGATTTTGCACATGAGCATATTTAAGGTGCTGGCACATTCAGATAAATTATTTAGAAACTTCAAAAGAAGCTTGCAAGTTTGATCTAGCTAGAGATGAAGCCCCACAGCATTTATAACCCACTTAATGTTCAGGTTTCCTGTTAGGCAGAAGGAAGATTAAAGCAAAATTCCTCTGGAAAACTGTTCCATTACCAGCAGAAAAGCAAGCATGACGCTGAACACAGAAAGCACAATTTCTTCCTCTGGAGCTCTTGTAGGAAGAATGACCACGTCTTAGGACTTATTTTAATCCCCTTCACTTTGCAATTAAACGACAGAAATGCTTTCAAGTCACCCCAAAATTGTGTACGAGTAGGGCTGCCTGCAGACATTAAAGAAAAGCAGCACTTTGCTTTTAACTCAGTGCACCCTCACACTGAGCCTAGCACATGGCCAGAAGAGGCAGCACATTAGCTGGACCCAGCTCACCCAACATCTGCATAGATCGGGTACTTTAGATAGGTTTTTTGGCACTTTTATCTACAGCTGATCGAATCAGCTTTAGCTAAAAGCTCCAAAAAGCTCCGCTGGAGCACCTGATCTATCCAGATGCTGTGGAGCTGGGTCACCATAACGCACTGCTTTTTCCAGTAAAGCATGGGGAGGTTTGGGGTTTTTTTAAGTCTGCAAGCAGCCTAGAAATGGAGCTCCTTAAGGGCCCAAGTAACAGGACCACAGCCTGAAGGGTGGCCATGATGTCCCCTGGTGGCAACACAATTCCTGCCCCACTCTGTCTAACTAAGTACTCTCGCTTTTCTCCCATCTGCCATGCTTTGAATACATTTTATTACAGAAAAGAAGGCTATCCAAAAGTACCAGTGAGCTTTCTTCAGTTCTGTGTCCAGCAGGTTCATCTCAGACCCTGCTGGTCCCAACCTATCTCCTCTTGCTAAGTGGATCTTCCTGGCCCATCTGTGCCCCCAGGGCACCTGATGCTGTATGGTCTATTCGTGACCTCCAGCTGCTCCCATAGTCACACCCATGCCTTACAGATATCACTGCATATTCATGAACCAGTCCTCTTAGCTTTAGCCCACTGGTCACTCTTTGCTGTAGACTGCCAGCCTAGGCCCACTTTCTCTGGCCCAGCTTCCAAGTCTCAGACTTGTCTGACCCTTGGCCCATCTCACTCAGCTTGGGCTCTCGGCCCCTGGCCCTTGTCTCTTTGCTCGGGACCCCTGATTGCCCCATTTGGGTTCTGACCCTTAGCCCTCCCGGCCTCGGGCCGCCTCTACTGCCTGTATAGTTTTAAGGTCTTGGCCTTTTCAGTCCGTCTGTTGTCCTGAGCCCCAGCCCTCTGGTCCTTGATTCCAAGCCAGGAACTCTGTGGCTGCTTTCTCCTTAAAGTACCAGGAGGGCCTCCGGCTCCCTATTACAGCACCAAACTAGAACCAATTTTTAAGAGTCCTGAATTCACATAAGCATACTTTAAGCTTTCTGCATGCTGCTCAATTACAGTCAATTCCATGGCTAAAGGTACCTATGACCAGCAGTATCAATTTGGATAAACTACAGGTTTTTTTGTTTGTTTTTTCTTTCTTTTTAAATTTTAGCTGCAAGGGACTACAGAACTCCTTTACTGTCCCTTATTTAGACCAAGCAGTTCACCTAAATGGTATCCTATTATACATATAACTTTTCATGCAATGAATTGCTTCAAGGTTTTATCACTGGTTTCAAATCCCAAGTGTTCTTCTTCCTGCTCTGCAGACACTGAATTCAAAGATGCAAACTTGAAGATTCCTTATAAAAGTTGGAGTGCAGTTTTCAAAGGGTGGCTGAATAGCATTTACACATTCACACATTCCTCCACCCTGTAAGGAGACAAAAACCCAGTTTTTGTTGCACAATTACAATCATACAGCAATAACTAGAGGCTGCCCTGTGCATGGTAGCTACACTGGGCACCCAGCCATGTCACTTTGTCTTTGGAATAATATGTAGTTCACTAAAAGGAAAGGCTAAATGCTTCCATGTTACAAAAGACCTGGGATGTATATGTACACATACAGTATGTAAGAGAGACCTTGTGGACAGTCAAGTACCTCAAAGGTTCATTCACGAGGACACAGTACACAGAAAATAATTCTAGAAAAGTGTAATAATTTAAATCAAATTTATGAGAAGCATTTACAGATTTGTCAAGTGATATACTACCTATATGCTTAGCCCTTAAAAGGAAAGGGATGTTCAATTAACCCATTTCATAGGGAAATTTTCTTTTCATAGAGTGAACTATGAAAAACTCCCAGATGTATAGAATCTGACATCAGCATCATGTATCTGTAGTTCATAAATACCTGAGAAAAGACTGAACAGAATGGAAATAAGGCTAGTTTTATGCAAAAGCTATTTTGGGAGAGAAAACAGTTATAGAAGTTGTTGAAAAAAATAGCAACAGAGAGAATAGAGTGGGGGAGGGAGAGAGAATGAGAATTAATGTAATTCCAGACAAGAGATAAAAGTAATAATTACCTGTCCATTCTGTTGTACATACAAATTAATTTTGCAGTCATCACCACCACAAGCTAAGACTGGTACTAGGAGGAAAAAGGAAAAAAAACCAATTATTAGAAACTATCTTTGCAGCTAAAGTAGCAAAACTTATTATTCTGAGGTCTTCAGCCAAAATAAAAAGAATGAGCATAAAACAGTTAATATGACAAAAACAGAGTACACATGTTGTCCACTTTCAGAAGTTTTGTACTACTTTCTAACTCAGATACTTTATGCTGGGGTGGGCAATTATTTTGGGCAGAGGGCTGCTTACAGAGTTTCAGCAAGCCATCGAGGGCTACATGACAGGCAGCCCAGGGCAGATTAATATTAATTTTCTAAATTTTTTAGGGGCCCTGCAGCGCAGATAGAATGGCCTGGCAGGCCGCATCCGGCCCCTAGGCCGCATTTTGCCCACCCCTGCTTTATGCAGCTTATGTAAAATGAGTGATTTCCATAAAATAACTTTCAAGTTAAGCATCTGAAACAGAAATTGTTGCTAAGACACAAATGCTTTCCATTACAAATATCTGAAGGCTGAAGGGTGGACATACTTAACTGAGTCTCCAGTGTATCCTTAAGTCCAGGTACTGGTGCTCCTAAGGCTTATAGACACTTAGAGATGTCATTTCACTTGCCTAAACTGCAGTTACCCAGCCAGAAGTGCCAGTTTTTGTACTTAAGCAGAGTTTGCAATTCTGAAACTGAGCCATTGCCTTCTGCATTTGATAGGTATTGGATAAAATAGATGGGGAGCTTTGAGGAAGTTTCTACCCCACTGGGGCCAAAGGTCCAGACTACAACTCCCTTCCAAAGCACCATCCACCTTGCTGAGATACACATCTAGCTTGATCTCTTCCTCTTCTCCCTCACTTGGTTACCCAGGGAACCAGCATCAAAACCACGGCTGGAGAGGTGACTGGATAATACCTAACCAATGGACTGATTAGGACACTGTGCTAAGGAGCAAAAAAGGTATGTTTAAACCTGCACTGGGTTAAAAGGGCCTAGAACAGGGGTGGGCAAAATGGAAGAAATGGCTGATGGCCAGACTCCATTTCCAAGCAGCCCCTGCCCACGTCGCTGCAGCCAGTTTCCATAGAGACCCCAGCAGTGGTGGCACCCTGACAGAACAGGGCCAGAGTTTCCATGGAGGCAGGACCTAGCAGTGCTGGCAGGTGTGGGAAGCTGCTCCATGGCCAAGTCTGGGATCTTGCAGAGGTGACAGCATGGTCCTGAGCTGGGGCAGAGCATCAATCCACTGTCTGCCAGCAGCTCAACCCTGACTCTGGACCACACTGTCACTGCTGCAAGATCCCAGCCCTGGAGCAGCTCCCCGCCCAGCTGCATTACCTGTCAGAGCTGCTGGGGCCAGTCTCCATGTAAACCCCAGCCCCACGCTGTCATGCCCTACCATTCCATGGAAACCAGCTGCAGTGACATGGGCTGCTGGGAAATAAAGTCCAACATGAGTCGGATCCAGCCTGACTGGACTTTACCGCCCCAGGCCTATAACCTGGATCTCCCACATTTTACTGAGCAAGTGCCCTAACCTGGCATGCTCAGTTGCTGTGTGGGGCACAGGAGCTCCAGGCACTCAGTAAAGGGTGGTGCTGAAACAAAAGCAAGGAGGCTTGAGCCTCCAGCTGCATAGAGCAGAGTGGGGGCAGGACATCGCTGGAAGAGGTAATATCAGGTGTCACTGTCAAGGACCAGGTTATCCCCTCCTTTGCCATGTAGCTGCTAAATTCAGGATTTTGGATCTTCATTTACCATACAAAATTGCAGTAGGTACAGGGCTAGGGAACGGTTAACTTGGCTACTGGCAGTGACACGTCTCTTGAAGTAGCATCCTGCCCCCACTCTGCTCTGTGTGGGTAGGGGGCTCGAGGCGCACTGCCTCCATTCCAGTGCCCCAGGGTACAACTATTAGATACACCTCTGATGGGAAGGGATGAGAGCAGCATCCGGGGAGCAGGGTTTATCTTGTGGCACTGTCAAAGACTATCCACCACTGCACTAGGCTATTGAGCTAAAATAGGGCTGTCCAACTTGAGAAGCACAGGCTGCATGCAGCCTACAAGGGTTTGAAATGTGGCCTTTGAGGTCCTGCCTGGCCACCACTCTCCCCTGCTGCTGCAATGGCTGGGGTCTTCAGGTTCCCCCTCCCTCCTCTAGCTTTGGTTTCCAGCTCCCTGGTCCTGAGGGCAGTGTGGCAGGAGGGGGCCATGCTCCCCATGTTGTAAGCGCGGCAGAGGGGAGCTAGGCTGCCCACATTGCAGGAGGACAAGCAACCCAGACAGTCCATAGGTCTGCGCAGCATGTGGCCCCTGGATGTCCAAATGTCACATGGCCCTTGACCAAAACATAGGAGGACCACCTTCTTTCTCCTCTCTGACATCTCACATACAAGGTTGGGGGATTTGCCCAGCTACAATTTCAGGACTTCCAGGTACCATGTTCCTACTCAGCCTTACTGAACTTACTCAATAGCTAGGTGGATGCTTGTGAATCCATGCTGCACCTGAAACAGAATTGCAAAATGTGCCTAAGTGCCAACAATGGCATTTATCAAAGAATCACAGAAAATTAGGGTTGGGAGGGACCTCAGGACATCATCTAGTCCTATCCCATGCTCAAAGCAGGACCATTCCCAGCTAGATTATCCCAGCCAATTTATGCCACTGGATAAGTGAAATAGGATATAGCCTTTCTTCTTTCTGCATCTCCTCATCTACAGAAGTTTATAGCCTGATACCCTAAACAAAAGACTCAAATTGCAAGTAGCAAACCAATGAGACGAAACAGAAAGATTAAAAGATTGTATTCAAAATAAACCAGCATCAGAAAATGGAAATTTAACCCTAGCTCAGCTAAAAGGAACCTAAATTACAGAACACAATATGCAAGGAAACTGAGACTTTAGGACTCTATGCAAGAAGGCTACAAAAAGTATTTGTGTAACTGCTGAACCCATAGGCTTTAAATGGAATCATGACTGAAGACAGCAAGGCTATAAAGTAGAAAAACAATCCTTCTGTATCATCCCTAACCACAAAGGACTGTGAGGAGATAAACGGAGTCCTACTTTTTTTTTTTTTTTCAAATAATGAAGATGAAGCACTTTCAAGGGCTGAGTTATTAAAGGAAGTCACCAATGAGTTCAGGAAGAACAAGTCAGCAGCAGGCCTGGATGCTATTCATCAAAGAGAGTCCTGACATGCTAGCAAAACATTCAGTCCTTCAGAAAAATCAACACGCATACAGGCTGGAAGGTGGAAAACATACCTACAGAAACAACCCTGGGAGTTATAACTTACTAAATTCTTTCCACAACTAGTAAGGTAACTAAAATACATGCACGCACACACACCTCTACACAATTAAAAGCAAAATTATAAGAATAATGCTGATAGGGGCAAAACCACCAGGTGTCTCTAATGCACAAGAATATAGCAAATAAATGAGTATATAATGAATGAAAAGGGAAAAACAGCTGAAAAAGGAAGAGATTCTCATGAAATGTTTAGACCGTTTAAAGATGTATTCCTAATGAAAAGAAAATAACTGTGTCTGAGGAATAAAATACTGCAATGGATAATCTGGCAGAGAAACAGTTGAGTTGGAATAAGTGGCTCTGCAAAGCTTTTCCATGGCTGCTCACTTCCAGATTCCAAGACTTATCCAGGAAGGTTTACTTTCAACTAGTCAAATTAAAATGAAAAGATTTCAAAGTAAGCCAAGCTTCTTGGGCACACACACGGTTTCCACTACAAATAACTGACAGCTGAAGAATGGGCTGAGGTATTTGAACTTGGGACTTATCCATTACAGCTGTTCTTATATTTGCATGAGGTAGCAAAAGGGTTTGACAAAACCTCACAAGATGGTTTATCAAAGCCTTTAGGATGGCAGTCCTACCATATGTACTTTAGGAGAGGAATTCTGCAAACTTCATGAATTCTGCCAGAGAAAAACATTCTTCGGCAAATTTCTCAAGATCCAGAAGACAAATCCCAGAGCAATTCCTTGATTACAAGTCAACTAATAAAGTGCTAAATTACATTCATGATTCTTCTACAGTTTGTTTGTTTTTTTTAAGTGTTCTTTTGGCTCTCCTCTGAGGACTCACTATGCAAATAATGGTTCACTACGCATTCTCCATCACCTCAAGTCATACAGAAGTCATCGAAAAAGTTCATACAGAACTGACATCATGAAACTTTTAAAATAATTTCAATATTAAAGATACAAGTTATCTATAAATTTGGTTTTGTCTCAAGTTTCAGAAAGCTTTCTTCCTGAAGGATTCTAAACAGTTATACACTACAGAAAAAACAAAAAAGGGGTAATTTTCAAATGCCCCTAACTCATGCTACTGCCTGCTTACTTTCAACTTAACTTTTTCAACTTCATCTTGTCTTTCTTCAAAGAGCAAGTCTTGCATGTTTGGAAGGGGTAGTCTATATTTCTTCTGTAAATCAGAAAAGTTGTATTTTTAATGCAATTGTCAACAGAGCGTTAGAGACTCCAGAATGACTCCATAGTCATTTATCAAAGATATTGTTTTACTAAATTATTAAGTCCTTTATCCTCCTATTACATCAGTGGTACCCAGACTTTTGGTCCCAAGGACCAGGGCATTTCATCTGGCCAGCAGGACTTGAAAATTGATGGTGCAAGAGCAATGGCAGCATTAACTGCCATCCTTCCCCCACCACTAAATTTGCAGACCCATGCGGAGCCCCGCAGGCCAGATGACATGGTTCCATGAACACCGCTACATTAAACTGTCACATTAGCTGACAAGATGATCAGCAGAAAAACTTTCAGTGAAGCTTCCATTTAAGCTATCATCAAATTTCCAAGTTAACCTACTTATATAAAAGGAGCAGTTCAAGCCTCAGAGCTATTTAAGATTCAGGTTGATAGCACAAATCTCATTACACTTGGTTCAAGTTTTTCCTCAGCCAGCTACATGACTAGAATTTTTTTAATTATATTTTTATGGTTCAAAATCTAAATTATTTCTTGACAATCTTCATAATGTAGGCCAGACCATTTATAACTAGGTTCAAAAACCTTAATACATGTATATTAACACATGATTATATGTTGGTATAATCCAGACTTGAGTAGAGAAGTTATTATTTAAAAGAAGGCCCAACTTGCCCAAAAGTGTCCAAAAGGGTCCATTTTAAAAACAGACAACTCATTTAACAATTTAGTTGAAAACTCCTTCTTTAGTTTGAGGAGGTTCTTTAAATTGAGGGGATATATTATCCTGATATAACCACAGGACTTCCTTGCCTTAAGTGCCATTTTAATCTGCCTTAAATGATAGAGATGCTCTAAGAACAAGATATTAAAGTATTTAAAATTCAAAAATTCAGGCCTTACACGTAATTTCATGTTTGGATTTATTTTTAAATCCTGAGGTTTGTAACTTAAAAAAATCTTCAATCATAGTTTCTCATTTATATACGCAACATGCCTCCAGTGCTAAATTGATACAGTCCTCTAGGGTACTACAAAGAAAAATTCTAATGGGTACAACAGCATACCAAACAAAACTAATCTACTGTTTCACAGCCTGAATTTTAAGTAGAGGCAGTTCTCCTAATTAATATGCAGTATAGGCCCTATATTTCTGACTATAATTCTGACGATAGGGTAAAAATAATGCATTTTACCTTCCACCCTCATAAGCTTTAAGTCAACAACTATTTATCCATGCAGTTTACAGTAAAATTGCCAACTGCATTAGTTATTCAGAGTATGAATAGATTGCTTCTGATAATCACACACATTCCTGGAAGAAAACATCAGTATTCCTGAACTGAACAATACATTTTAGTACATTCTAGAAAATTTGAATGCATCAAACATGTAAAGAATACCTGTTGCTCCTCTGAAGGCATTACAGTAAAAAACTGTGTTAGATTTAAATACGTCTATACTTGCCTTTTTAAAGATTTTATGGTATACCTTAACTATGCTACATGCAGCTTGCACAACAGGGCCTGCTGGGTTGCCACCTTACAATCAATTTTTCATTCAGTGTTTGCACAAATATGCTCCAGCACAGTTCTTTTATTTATGGTCCATGGGCAGCCTGGAATAGTTCAGCTAAGGAATTAGATGACTCCGTTACACACCAACTAGTTCATCTGCTATAAAAAAGCAACTTCCTCAAATCCAAGATGTCTGTCACCTTTATTATTATTTCATATTAAAGAATGTCTTCTTCCATAAATATTTAGAGAAACAAGCAACATCTACTGAATTGGCCACATAGTTGGAAGAGATGTTAGACAACTTTCTGGGCAATTGTACCTATACTTACAGGCTCACTACCCTCCTAGTCGCATGAGCTTTTGATAGCAACATTCAAGAAAGATACCATCAAAAAGTTCAGTAGCAGAAGCAGGATCAAGCACCGGTGCCCAACTGCTTTGTACAATTTTCACTCTGTACATTATCTCCCCCCCTGAAGATGCAGAGAGAGGTAGTCTGAAGTCAGGCAGAAGGCAAGGTAGAGGTGCAACTTATGTTATGATTCAGTTAGTCTTTAAGGTGTGCCTCTATCCTGTCTTCTCCCTCAAGAAGATTCAGCTACTGGATCCAACTACCTTCCCATCCTTTTTTCCTCAATGTGGTTTCCCCTTTAAATATACACCTCTTGTTAAACTATTTCTATCTCCCTTGCCGCCTCCTTCTCCCCTTCTATTTCCTTGTCTTCCACTCCCTGAAACAGACCCTTCCTTTGTCTCTGCTTTATTCCATCCCAACAAAATCCCACACAAAAATTCACCACTCCCACACAAACCTTAACCTTTTACAATACATGAAGACTACCCTTTTTGTTATATCCTTCTTCTGCCCTCTGAGTCTTTCTTGTCTACTAATATGCTAAGATTTGGGACAGGCACTCTCTTACTCACTGTGGCAGGGCACTTGGGGTGGCTGACTGGGAGTCATCTGACCCAGGTGGGGCCAGGTCTTGGGACAAGGCAAAGGTCCAGGTGGGGCCACTGCCAGAGAGGAAGGGGTCAGAGAATCTGAAGCCCAAAATGAGGATGGCTGTGACAGACCCATCAGATGTAGAGGTGGGTCTGAGACAGTGCTGAGACCAGAGGGCCCAGGAGAAGAGCCAGGGCCAGGGGTAACCTGGAGGAAAGAAAGCTGAGTTCAGAAGGGGGCCATATGAGAGCCAGTAAGATCAGGGCTTAGAAAGAGAGAGCTTGGGCCAATGGAGCCCAGAGCGGTGAAATCAGCAAGGGGCCAAGGAGCTTGTAGCTAGGGACAGCATGGCTCTGGAGATGGAGATCAGGGCTTAAGCTAGTCCTGGGTATAACCCAAAACTGCCCCCTACTGGGGTCACAGTGGTGGGACTGCTCATGGCAAAGCAGCCTCTAGAAAGTGCCACCAGGGCCAAACCCCAAAGGGCGAGTCTGGGGAGCCCTAAAACCCTAGCTCCCACTGCCTTGCAGGTTACGCCTTGGGGGGGGAAAGGCTAGGGGAGCACACCCCAAAATAAAAACAAGAGCAGGACCAGATGGTCCAGTGGCCTGGCAGGGGCCGGAAATAGGGCAGTGGGACCGGAAGGGTCCAGCAGCCCAGCGATGTTTAGGGTTGAAAGGGACCTCAGTAGATCATTGAGTCCAACCCTCTGCCCTGAGCAGGAAAAAGTGCTGGGGTCAGCCAGGTGCTGGTCCACTCTCTTCTTAAATACCCCCAGCATAGGGGAGAGCACCACCTCCCTTGGAAGCCCATTCCAGATTCTGGTAACCCTCACCGTAAAGTTCTTCCCGATGTCCAGTCTAAATCTGTTCTCTGTCAGTTTGTGGTCATTGTTTCTAGTTACCCCAAGGGGCGCCCTGGTAAACAGAGTATCTCCTATTCCTTGCTGTCCCCCACCTGATGATTTTGTAGATGGCTACAAGATCACCTCTCAGCCTTCTCTTCCAGAGGCTGAAAGAGATCCAGATCCCTCAAACTCTCCTCATAGGACCTTACCTGTAGGCCCCTAACCATACAAGTAGCCCTCCTATGGACCCTCTCAAGGTTATCCACATCCATGTGAGAGACCAAAGGGTCTGGCAGGACAGACAGAGGTCAAGAGAGAGACCGGAGAGGGGCTGGCTGAGAGGCCTGAGGGCCCACAAGATGGCTGTATGATGGACCAAGGGTCTGAGGGCCCAGAGGAGGGCTGCGTGACTGTAGGCATGTGACAAAAATGTCCACTATGATGCCATCTGTGATGTATGGGGCATGGTGAAGGGAAGGTATGGAGCCATGCAATTAGCCCATAAGACAAAGGACCACAGCTACCAGGTGGTCATTAGAACAAGACCAGGTCTGGGAAGCCCTGGGGCGGACTTCCTTTTATAACCATAAAAGACATCAATGTGCAGTGGGCAAGCAAAAGAGAGACTGTTCCCAGAGTGATCAGGCAAAAAGGGAATTTTGGGGGGCCTCCAGGGGTTTACGGCCACCCCTGGGGTGCCAACCTGCTACACTCTCCATTTGTAAAGCTCCTAGCTAAGGAGACTTCCAGGAGTTATCATGATAAATAACAGGATACAGTTAAAAACAGATCTTGACACAGGAAGCTTTACTACCTGTGTTATTCAGGAGGTTAAACAACTCAAATGGTCTTTCTAGTCTTAAAAAACACAACTCTTAGACAATTACTTTAGCATCCTAAAAGTATGGTTCCTCCCTTCACAAGAAACTTCTCTCTCACCTGTTTTCCATAGAGCACTCGCTATTTATACTGTAGGTTTATGAATCTATACGTATATATATTTATTTATATGACACACTATTCAAAGGTAACTGGTTTTTTTGCCTCACAATGTAACCAAAGATATCTATTAGTATAATATATATCTCAAAAAGCAAGGTTGAAAGAATTACAACTACCCAATGTTGTCCTAACTATTTTGGGTAACATTCTATAGAAATCTCTGAATATTTACTCAGACAGTGTTAGGCTCAGATAACTTCCTTCTTATAAGAGATCTATTTATATAATATGCATGTCTAAAATTAGCTACATTAAAAACATTACTCCTCTGTTTTTCAAAGCACGCGTCTGAAATGATGTGAAAGTATTTTTCTTCTCTCAAAAAAATAAGTGTTCATGATATGCAGCCATACTTACCATCGCTTGCAGGCAAGAAGGATAAGCAGACATCCATAACAAATCCATTTCCAAACTGCAAAGTCTGAATGCAGTTAGCTAAAAAATGAAAACAGAGAAATTAAACACTGTATGAAGAGATGGCAGACACCTATATCTGCATTGCTTAAATCTTTCCATTACAATAATGTTCTTTTTATTTTCAAAAGCTCCATTACTTTTACTGTTTGCAGGAGGAACTCCTTTAGCTAGTCCAGGGGCACTCAACCCCTAGTCCACAGGCCAGATTCATCCCACAGCATCATGGCATCCAGCCCATCAGGTTCCCCAGGCATCCAGAAATTTGGTGACACGAAAGTGGTGACATCACTCCCTTACTGGCCCAATTCCAGACCCCTGGGGAGCCCTGTGCCCTGTGTATTGGATCAGGTACCCAAACCCAGCATGCAGGGCTAGACAGAGGCAATGCCAGGCCCCAATCCCAGTGTGGGAAGCTGGGAAGGGGTGGTACCCCAGGGCCTGATCCCAATGCACAATGCAGGCAGGAGGTGGTGCTGGACCTGATCCTAGTGCTTGGGCCTCCATGCAGCCCATGGACCCGCCCTGTACCACTTATCTGGCTCACAGAGACAGAAGGCTAAGCACAACTGTATAAGTCCCATGAAAAGCCAGTTACACTTTTGGCTGTGTTATCTTTATCATGTCGTTAATGTTGTGGAACACGCATCACATAACTACTCCCACTGTGACAGGAAGGCCCAAAACCCAAAAGAGCAGTTCACTACTCATAGCTGGCACAGATTATAGGAAAGTAAGGCTGGAAGGGACTTTATGGGATCATCTAGTCCAGCTCTCTGCTCAAGGCACCATCATCCCAGACTAAACTATCCTAGTCAAGTGCCTCCCTAACCAGCTCTTAAAAATTTCCAGGGATGGAAATTCCACAATTTCTAAAGGTGGTTAAGCCTGTTCCAATGCTTAACCACTCACATAATCAAAAAGTTCTTCCCAGTCTCCAAACTAAATTTTCTATGCTGCAGTTTGAGGCCACTATCAGTACTACCATCCCCTACAGCCACAGAGAAAAATCAATCTCCCCACTCTTTATAATTGTCCTTTAGGTATTTGTGGGAGACAGTGTCAGAGGCCTTGCTCAATTTATGGTACATTACTGCTTACTCCCATCCACAGAATTCATCACTTTATCATAGAAGCAAATCAGGCTGGTCAGAAATGAGTTGTTCTTGGTGAACCTATGCTGGTTGCTTCTGATCACCTTGTTCTCCTCCAGGTACTTGAGGACCTGCTCTATGATCTTCGCAGGTACTACGGTCAGAGTGACTGGTCTGTAATTCCCTAGACCCTCCTTCTTCCCTTTCTTAATGATTGATACTATATATTTGCCCTTTTTCTAATTATCCAGGACCTCATCTGACCTCCACAAGCTCTCAAAGAAGATACCTAAAGACTCTGAAATTGCCTCAGCCAATTCCTTCAGTACCCTAGGGCAGTGGTACTCAACTTTATCCCCCGCAGGCTGGATGGGCAGCGCCTGGTCCAGTCACAGGCCGGATACTGTGATACTGTGCAGTAACCAGGGCCAGCAGGTGGCCACCATCCAGCAAAGTGGTGGGGGGCAGCCCAGCCCCACAGGTGGGGGGAGAAGGAACTTTGCCCAGCCCCACAGGGGGAGTTGGGAGGGATGTGACCTGATCCCATGCAGCGGGGGAAGCTTGACTCAATCCTGTGGGGAGGAGAGGGCATGACCCAGCCCCAACCCATCCCTGCAGGGGGAAAAAGGGACATGGCTAGATCCATGGGAGGGGAAAAGGCTCCAGCCAGCACCCCCCACCAGGGAAAACAGGATGTAGCATGACCTGGCTCCACAGGAGGAAAGGAGGCATGACTCAGCCTCATGGGAGAAGGGGGCACAGCCTGGTTCCAACAGGGTGCACTGGGTGTGGGAATTTGACAGGGACGAATATGGCCATATAAATGGCCACTGCTGCCTTGCCACCAAATTTCCTGAGTTATGGGGAGCCCTGCAGGCAAGATGTGATGGTTCCACAGGTCGCATTTGGCTCAGGCCGGGGGTTGAACATGCCTGCCCTGGGGTGTATCCTGTCAGCCCTGCTAATTTTAAAACATCTACTTCTCTAAGTGATCCCTAACATGTTCTTCTACTACTCTAAGCTGTTCATTTCCTTCCCTATCCTTGCAGCCAGCTGTATGCATCATTTAATACAGGGGCATCAAAGATACAGCCCACAGGCTGGATCCAGCCTGCAGAGAAATATTATCTGGCCTCTAGTGCTGCCTGTGGCTCTCAGTGTAACCCACAGGCAGCATGCACAGTGCACTAGATCGGTGGTTCTCAACCTACTTGTCATAGTGGGCCACACTTGCAGCTCTCAAGGTGTTATGTGGGCTGCACCCAACTTACTTCCTGTGTATCCATTTAAAAATATTTTCTATCTGTTATCTAACAGTGATTCAATACAAAACAATATTTTGTAATGCCCCTCATTTCTACACTGTCAAATGTCTTTATTTATTTTTAAACAAGATGTCACATGGGCCGTAGCATAGTGCTGATTGGGCTGCATGAGGCTCACAGGCCGCAGGTTGAGAACCACTGCACTAGATGGTCCTATGTAGATGCCTGCAAAGGGGTGGAACAGCTGCCACATGCAGCATAGCCCTGCTGCAATGGCGTGCAGCTTCAGGGATGTGCAGCATGGTCCTGTGACAACCAAAGCAGGACCATTATGCAGGGCCAGCCCATGGGTCCTGTCCAGCCTGTGGACAGGCCCCACACTCTCTGGTCCACAGAGCAGGATAAGTGTGACACCACTGATTTAAACAGCTGCCTTCATTAGTGAAGACTGAAGTAAAAAAGGCATGAAATACTATAGCCTTCTCTGCATCATCTGTAACTAGACTGCCTTCCGCGTTCAATAAGGGACCTATACTTTCTTTGGTCTTCCTCTTACTTCTGCCATATTTGTAGAATCCCTTTTTATCATCTTTAACACATCTCTTGCTAGTTGCATCTGAAATCATGCCTTGGACTACCCGATTTTCTCCCTGCATACCTACGCTATATTCTTATAATCTTCCCCAGTAATATGACCAAGTTCCCACTTTTTTTACAATTCCTTTTCGAGTTTCAACTGTCTATTGAAACTACTTTCATTCTTCTGTTGCACCAGGATACCATGCTCCTGTACCCTTAATACAACCTCCTTAAAGTACAGCCATTTCTCCTGGACTCCTTTCCCCTCTGACTTGCCTCTCAGGGAATCCCACCTACCAGTTACCCAAGTATGTTATAGTCTGCTTTTCTAAAGTCCCATGTCTTTATTCTGCTGCTCTCTTCCTTTCCTTCCTCTCCTTACAATCTTGAATTCTATCATTTCATGGTCTCTGTCACCCAAGCTGCCTTCCACCTTCACATTCTCAACCAATCTTCCCTTTTCATGAGCAGTTTCCTCCCTAGTTAACCTCTCCATCATACCACCAAAGAGTTCTCCAAGAATTTGCTGGACTGCCTGTGCATTGCTGCCTCCCTCCCAGCAGATGTCACAGTAATTAAAATGCCCCATTAGAACCAGGTCCTGCAATCTGGAAACTTCAGCTAATTGTTTAAAGATCTCATCCACCCCTTTCTCCTGGTTTGGAGGTCAACAGTAGACCCACACTGTGGCAT